CAGGCAAAGACAATAAGCATCACATAGTTGTAAAGTAATACAGGTCATGTATGCTGACGAAGAAGAGGAGATACTTTGTTACAATTTAGTAAAAAATGGTAATTCTATATTTAAATTTACCGAAGATAAAGTTTAGAATCTTTTCTCTGTACATTTTTTTATTTTTTTTTTATATATTGGGCATTTGGTTGCAATTTATGAAATATTTTACTGTGGAATAGAGTGAAAGAAAGAAAGTTTCAATCCTAGATTCAAATTGTTTTATGTAATTCCACAAAGAAAAAGAAAAATAAATGAGTTGGCGTTGGAGCGAAAGGAAACAATAAAAAAAGACGAAATAGAAATCTGCGAGGATTCTTTTTCGTCTTTACTGAAGATAAAGTTTACAAACTATCTCTTGTCTATACATTTTTTTTTTTTTGATATTGAGCATTTGGTTGCAATTTATGAAATATTTTACTGTGGAATAGAGTGAAAGAAAAAAAGTTTCAATCCTAGATTCAAATTGTTTTATGTAATTCCACAAAAAAAAAGAAAAATAAATGAGTTGGCGTTGGAGTGGAGGGAAAGAATAAAAAAAAAAACGGAATGGAAATCTGCGAGGATTCTTTTTCGTCTGGGGTTATTTAATTTCGTCAGCGGCGGCAATTTTTACACGGAGAGAGAGAGCCGTAAAGATTGCGGCCGTGGCTTCGGCCTCAGTCTTATTCGCTGATGGAAAACGGTACTAATCAGATAGTGTGCCTCCTCCAGTAGTCTGCAGAGAAGAGAGCGAAAGAGAGAAGATTCCCTATCCTATCCCATCTCGCCTCGGCATCTACGCGATAAACTTTCGGGATTATCGCAATCCACCCTGTAACTTACGCAGGACTACCAACTGATAAATCAGCACGCCACGTCGCTACGCTTTATAATTAAGCAGTAATTTACATTCACTCACTCAACTGGGCTCAGGCCCAGTGGGTTTGGTCTGTTATGTGGGGCGCTTTCTTTCCTCTCATCTACTTTTCTTGGTTGATACTTTTTTTTCTTTTCTTGCTGTAATCTGGGAGCGAAAGTAACTGCTCATTTTCCTTCCCTTTTTTTTTCTTTACTGTACACATTTAAGGCCGGACTTATAAACGAGAAATTAAATGGAGGAGAGTTAATCAAAGCTGAAAGCTTTTTTTCAGCTTCAATTATAACATGAAAAAATTATTGTTTACTTAACATCTGATTTCAATGTACACTTGGCTATACACTTTAAATCAGCGGTCGGGGAACCGGGGTAAATTACCCAAAATGGGGTAAAAATGATTTTTTTTTGGGTAATAGGAAAATTTTTCCAATTTCATCTTTCCAAACTCAGAGAGCGGTTCTCTGACTACTTTTCAGAACTTGATGTACAAACTGTGAATTGGGTTGCAGATCCTTTTAAATGTGAAATTACTAACATACCAGCAGAACCTCCAGGTTTGGCAGAGGCAATTCTTGAACTTCCATCCAATACTGTATTCAATTTGAGACAATCTGATTTGAGAGAATCTGTCGTCTTTTTGGTTGTCAAAGGCTGCAAAGGCTTTCAAAATTGCACATGAGGAGGCGGTAAAAAAATTGCTTGCCATTTGGAACAACTAATATTTGTGGAACAAGCGTTTTTCCACTCTAATGCAACATAAAAACGAAAGAACAGAAATCGATTAAACGCCGAAGACTGTATTCAAATTTCTACATCTCAATTTATAAAGTACATTATTGTAATCCTGTATTCAAATTGCTCTTACATAAAAAGTCCCAATTTTAAAGTAATTATTTCAAACATGAAGCATGTTCCCAAAACCTGAAGGGGGAAAGTTTTCAATTAATTTTTGTTTGTTCTAATTTAAAATTTTTATTTTGTTTGTCTATTACTATTTGTTACTATTTTCATGTAACTTTTTTTTATAAATATGTAAATGCAAATTAATTCAATAAATAATGTTTATTTAAAATTTACATTGATTGTTTTCTATTCAGAATTGGGGGGGGGGTAATATCGACTTACGTAATAATATTTTGGGGTAATGGTTAAAAAAGTTCCCCGGCCGCTGCTTTAAACTGAGAAATATAAAATTAAAAATAATATCAAACATTTGGAAACTTTATATTATTTCAAGAATATATTTTTTTCCAAATTTTTTATTTAAATCTTTGTTTCTCCAAGTTTATGTAATTTTTCAATAAGTTATTACATGTAGTTGTATTGTTTCCAATAGAATATGTAATTGACCTTGAAACTTACCGACGTGTTCTTTCAGAGTAAAAGCTTATAAAATCAATAACGTGACTGGAATCAATTAAACTTGTTGTATTTTCTACAACATTAATCTGAAAAAACTTTACATCATATATCTCAAATAAGTCAAGAATAAGATATATTTTTTTGCAAGTAATTGCATAAAGATTTTTATTCGAAATGCTGCTATGTTATTGCAAACTGTATATTATTTAGAGTGGAAAGAAATGTATGCTTGAATCGTTGTTCCCACGAGGCGGGCGTCTTCTTCCGGTATTCGGATTGAAAATCTGTTATGAACTCGGGTTTTGATACAATGCGGAGAGACGCCGCCCCCACACACATTTCCGTGGACTGCAAGAAGTTTCGTACATTGAATTACAACGCGAAATGTAATAAGTAACCGGTTTTATGATCCTGTTTTGCCGTAATCAGGATGTTATAAATATCCGGTGGAAAATGAGTCACTCGACTTGACTCTGGGTTCTCTGATTATTTAATATTCATCGCGAACTGCGGTCCGCTACAATTCCCAGCTCGATCATAAGATCAGACCTTTGTTTCGCCTTTAATTAAGTTCGAATCGTCAAGTTAAAGAAATTTACTTACTTTTTGTAATTATGTATTTAAAAATCATATAATTATGCACGTTATTAATGTTTTTAATTAGCAATAATTGAAATTTGATTGAAACATTGAAAATATATAAAAATTGAGATTAGTGAATTAAAATTCGCATTTTTTTTTTATAAATTCCTAAATAAAATTTGGTATATATAAAGTAAAAGTAAACATTTGTCTCTATTTTATCTAATTATGTTTATTTTGTCCATTTTTTGTATTAATTATATAAAAAAAATGTTTTCCCTTCGATTAAAGTCAATTAAAATAAGTTATGCAATTATGAATATTGAAAATGCGAGTATTTCAACAATTAAATATTACTTGATTTTTAGAGAGAGTTTGTTGTAATTATAAAAGTTCTTTAATTAATGAAATTTCCATTAAAAAAAATTATATTTCTTAAATAATATGTGGACTTTTTCATTAAATTTGAAACAAAACTGATTAATTTGCATCTGTTTAGCGATTTGCAGGTGCAGATGATTCATCGTTACGCAGGTGTGACAAATGATTCCTCGTAATAATTCGAGACAATTCGTGTCTATTCGACTACTATTTAAACGTTTTAGAACCGCTGTGATTCATCGCGACGCAGACAAGTCGCGTTTTCAGGTAATTTTGTTGATCAATTATTGAAATTTTTAATCACTTTCATTTGCATTAAAATTTGTCTAATAATGAAAACAATAGAAATTGTGAAAAATAAATCTTAATTAATATAAATTAATTAAAGATTTTTTATATTTTGCTTGCAATATTAACATTTGTTTTCTTTTCACAATTTTTTACTTTACTAAAATATATAAAATATCTATTGTAAATATAATTTAGGCTTTGAATAAAGGCTAACAATTTGGTTTTTCAATAATTCAAATGAACAATTTCTATCGTGGTTTGGCTGTATATGAATTGGCATTATTAATTAACTCTAAACATGAATATTAATTTCCGTGCCATAATAAATTGAATGCAAATAAATTAACTATTTAGTATATTCCAAATATTTCTCTAAAAACCTTTAACAATTGAAATACCCAACTAAATTAAATGGAGAGAATGTGTAGTTTGAATTTAATTAACAACTTAGCAAACGGTATAATTATACAGGTGGGACTCATTTTACGACTGGGTTAGGTTTTAGTAAAACGGCGCAATAAAATGATATTCTTGGTTGCCATCATTCCTCCTACTAAAACTTATGACCAACTAAAACAATTATTTCTGAAACAATTTAGTAATTTTGCTTAATTTCATTATATTTTAGAAAATACTTTGGTCGATAGCCCAAAAAAACAATATATGTTTTAATTATATTAAGTTCAGACTTTAAATTTGAAACAAAACGGATTAATTTGGATCTGTTTAGAGATTCGCAGGTGCAGATGATTCATCGTTGCGCAGGTGTGTCGCGTTTTTATAACCTTATAAGGATTTGTTTATCGCTCTCAGCTGCAGCTGATTCCTCGTGACTTTTCGAGTCCATTCGTGTCCATACGAAGATTGTTTAAACGTTTTACAACCGCTGTGATTCATCGCGACGCAGACAAGCGTTTTCATAACCATATTAGATAATTTTGTTCAACAATTATTGAAATTTTTAATCACTTTTATTTGCATTAAAATTAGTCTAATAATGAAAACAATAGAAATTGTGAAAAATAAATCTTAATTAATATAAATTAATTAAAAATTTTTTATATTTTGCTTGCAAAATTAAAATTTGTTATCTTTTCACTATTTTTTACTTCTAACATATAAAATATCTATTGAAAATTTAATTTAGGCTTTGAAAAAAGGTACATACTTCCAACACACTCTTCCATAATAATTCTCTACTTCTTCTGCGTTTCAACTTTGGTCTTTCAAGAAATTAATCGAAATGAGTTTTCTGGATCACAATTAAAAGATTTTCTAAAATCGCTAATCTTGGTGGAACAGAAGTACAAAAAGATTATATCACGTAAATAATTACAAATTAAATTAGTTTTATATCATTTATTTAAAAAACTAAAAAATACGGACAACAATTATAACACATTAATCATATTTAATTAAACAAAACATAATATTACAAACTGAAAGAAAAAACTATAATTTAGATATAACAAAATCGGTGTTGTTCTTAATATATGACACCTTTACTACGGTGCTTCTCGTGCCTATCGCGTCCTGACCTGGACGACTTCTCCTTGGATCTTCTCATGTCATTTTTCTTATCGACTTTAGACGATATCTTCACTGCAGTCTGGGCAAACATGACATTTATGTCGATATCTGTCAGCCCTTGACCCGTCCGCTTTTTGCATGACGGTTCCAACGGCGAAGTCTCTGATTCGTGAGTCCTTTTCTTCGACTTCACTTCATTTTCCTTGCTCGGATTTCTTGACTGCTTCGATTCCAACTTGCTTATACTGTCCTTATCACTTCTGTTTTCCTTCTCCTCAGGCTTATCAACATCGGACAGATCATCCCCAAATAATTCTACAAATCGTTTTGAAATTATACTTTCCTTCGACTTGTCTTCGCTTTCCTTGCTTAGATTTACTGTACTGTCCCTATCACTTCTGTTGTTTTTCTTCTCAGGCTTGGCAATATCGGACAGATCATCGCCAAATAGATCTACAAATCGTTTGAAATTCTACTTTTCCTCGACTTGTCTTCGTTTTCCTTGCTTGAATTTCTTGGCTGTTTCGATCCCAACTTACTAATATTGTCCTTATCACTTCTGTTGTCCTTCTTCTCAGGCTTATCAATATCGGACAGATCATCGCCAAATAATTCTACAAATCGTTTTGAAATTCTACTTTTCCTCGACTTGTCTTCGTTTTCCTTGTCCTTATTACTCTTAGGATCCGTTGAATATTTATTTTCCTTGGCACTAGAACTTGCACTTTTCGGTTTAGTCGGTACTCTTTTCTTCAGTACAGAGTTCAACTCAGTAGATTTTGATGTTTTACCACCACATATATCAAACATCGTAAGAGCATCACCGAAACTGACGCTCGATTTATGACTAATTGCACTTTTACCACTTTTCGAAGATGATTCAACTGTAACTTTGGAATAAGACATTTTGTATGTAAATAAGTTTTCACTGCTTCTCTGATGTCTGCTGAGAACTAATGATTTGTTTCATTCCTGAATGTCCTTAGGTTACCATCGATCATGATTTCAGGT